TGAATCAAAATCGATTCTTAAACTCTTTAAAAATGCTCTTACGCGTATTAAGAGACATATTAAATTTGACTTTATGATATTTTTCTGCCCGAATTGGGACTCTCCAGAATATACTTCATAATAATACAAAATAATGCGAGCGGTGTATATTTAAACGTGTGCAGATATTAAATAGTATAAATGTACTTCTCTCCCCGACTTTATTTTCACTGTATGCTCATATTGTCGCACTTTCCGACGCTTCTTCGTAATTTGGTGTCTGAGCCGTTAAATTGCTGTTTAGTAAGGCCAGCTCAGCATGATTATACTGCTTAAACCAGATAAACTATATTATAAAAAATTCAGCAAATTGATTTTTTACCGTCTCCATCGTAATAACTTAAGTGGTACTGGTTGCAGTAATTGACCGTTATTCGAATGTTGGTAAAATTTTGTAATCGTCAAGTAGTCCCGGTTGTCCCTACAGTTTTTATTTGTTAATATGGCATCGTATAACATAGCCTGCTTTTGCTTTCATTGACCATCGATGTCAAGTCTGCTCTTACATTTATTCAAAGAGGTTGCTTCATTATAATGAACATGCATAATAATTTGCATTGTCAACATAATTCGTTTATCAAAGACGTTTATTTGTTGTCTGTTCTTCGCTTTGTTCACCGTGCGATTGCAGAAATTGTCGTTTAAGGGTTAATTGATTCGTCCTGTGTCATGAGTTCTGAGACTGACGGGACAAGCAAACAGGTGAATCGATTAACTGATTCCCATGCAGCTAGCAGTCGCCTTAGTATGTCTACTGTTGGTAGATTTATTGCCTTATGTTATGCTAGAAGCTGTTTCACTGACGACCATATTTCATGTAAATCGAACACGTTGTAATTGGCTGTGTTATCTGTTGTTGGTTTTGGTGAATCTCTTATAGACTCGAACAAGGTTCAGTCTCAAATCTATATTTCAAGTCCTAAATTTCGGACAACAGCCACATTCTTCATCGTCCGGATATGCATTATTGGTTGTTTCTAATATATAGACTGATGGTGGGCAATATAATTATTCTCTGATACTTTGATACGTGAATAAAAGTGAATCTTTTCAATCTCAAAATTATTCAAATAATTCCTGTCCGAAACGATTAAAATTGCATGAATTCTCAAGAGTACAAATCGGCTTGTTTATAAATCTTTGTACCCGTCTTTCAGAATTCGGTTCAATTTTATTTTCTTGCGATTTGGTGACGAGAGAGTATGAGAAAACCTTAATTAAAGAATCGAGGTTAAATCGTGAAATGCTCCAAAACTTACTCTTCGTTTTTGTTCTTCAAGTAATGACCAAGTCTGTCATTCTGCGCATTTTCATGACCTGAAGAAAAGAATGCGTAAGATTTGAATGTGCAAATTACATTATGCATCGGCGCGTTTTATTAAAATCATTTCTTAAAAGTTGATACGTATTATAGATAATATATTATATTAGATAGATTCTCTACGTTTCACTACTTTTAAAATTGTTACCTTCTTTATTATTTAAGGTAGTAATTGACGTTGCCATACAATGTCTCTAGAACATCGCCGGCGATATAAGAATGACGGCAAAGTCGAGGTAAACGTTAGAATTGATTTTTTTTCTTAGATGTGTTTTTCTTAAAAAGAACGGAAAGTTAGTAACCGTTGGAATGCCGGTTTTCCTTGCATTTTCATGATAGGGCC